GAGAAGGAGGGAGAAAGGAAATAATGGGAAGGAAGGAAGGAGGAAGAGAAGGGGAGGGAGGAAAGAATAATGGGAAGGAAGGAAGGAAAGAGGAAGAGAAGGGGAGGGAGGGAGGGAGGGAGGAAGAAAAGAATAATGGGAAGAAGGGAGGGAAGGCAGGCAGGCAAAGTACCCTTACCATCACAACCGAAGCCCCCAGGATCAAAAATATCATGGTGTTCGTATTCATGGACCTCGCGGGGAAACTGACAGCTGCCCTGTCACTTTCCTGCAGGCCGCCCCCTCCCAGCCGCTTCCCCCAGAGGAAAAACGAGAGAAAGGGGGCCCAGCTTTCCGCGCAGAGGTCAGAGACGGCCGCATAGAAGCTCTTCAACCCGAACTGCAATTCTGGCAGGGGGGGAACCTCCGCGGCCCCCCCTCCCTCCTGCAAAGCATAACAAAACGCAGGCGGCAACCGCCGCCGCCGCTGCTCCCGCCCCCCCTCCACCCCAGCCCCCCCGCCACCAGCAGCCCCCTCCCCAAAATCTGGCTCCGGCTTCTTGGCTTCCTTCCTTCCTTCCTCTGCACTGGCTTATTCCGATCTCCCTGCCTTCGCCCCGGCCAGAGGGAGCCTCCGGGCAGGTTCAGGCAGGTGCCCAGGACCAGCCGGGGGATGCGCCGAGCCCAAGCCGGACGGGAGGTTGAACATCGCCGATGCTGCACCGTCCGGGGCGAGGAGGAGGAGGAGGAGCAGAGCCAGGGCCGGCTTCAAAGCAATCCATCCAAGCCCCGGCAGGCAGAAAAGCAGCCCCGGCCGGCCCTTGGCATCACTTCCCGCTTCCCGCCCGGTCGGTCCCGTCCGCCCCCCCTCCCCAAAAATAAAATCGCTCCCTTTCCCGAACCGGAGGAGCGATTGGTGCAAAGCAGGTGGTGTGTCCTGGAAGGGGGGGGAGAGAATAAATATTTCCCCTCCCCTTTCCTCTCTCTCCCTCCCTCCCTCTCTCTTTCTTTTTCTCTCCCCCCCTCCTTCGGTGGGGGCACCAAAATGAGAGCATCAGCCTTAGAAAATGCAGAAGGGACGGGCTGACATCATAAGCCCCCCTCTCTCTCCTCAAAAGAAGCTGCAAAAGCCGGCGCTTGGGCAAAGAGGGGAGGGGGAGAGCGATGAAGACCCTACCCCCCCCAAAAAAAATACACGACGGGTTAATTCACCAGCCTCTGCTGTTTTCCTAGCTTCTTAATGCTACTGGGGGTGGGTGGGTGTCTTCCAGAAGGAGGTGTGGGTGGGTGAGGGGAGCACCGACCCCCAAAACCTAACCTGGAGCAGATGGATTTTGGAAGGTGTTCAACCCCTCCCTTTTTTGGTGGGTGCGGGGGGGGGAGTTATGAAATCTTGGGCATCCACCTTGGTCATTATGCAGGCAAAGTGGGGTGCGGGCGTTTGTGTGTGTGTGTGTGTGTGTGTGTGTG